AAGTGTACACATGATTCCCGAAATTCTTGATTCCCGGTGATTCCCGTCCGCTTCTAATTATTACATAGGTTTTTCGGGGGGTTTTAGTGGTATAAAACTCTTATTTTGACTGATTTGTACTTATTTCTCTAGTTTCCCACTTATTCTAAGCGATTTTTATTGATTTTGATCAACTTTTATCCTGATGATTCCCAGACAGGTGTACACATGATTCCCGGAGTTATTGCCCCCTCGCTCGTACATGTGCCCGCCGCCAGCGGGAGACCGCATGCGGGGTGAGGAAGGGTAGGGGGAGAGATGGGGGTGAGTTTGCCCGGCAGAATGTAGCACAGTATCGCCCAGCGACCTACTTTGAGCGGCGGTGGCGGCGGCGCGCGCAGATCCTCCCTCTGCTGCTCCGGAAATGAGGAGTTGACACACCGACTCCCGCCTGCAGTTTTATTTTCTCCTTCTTTTCCCGGGGACTCGACAATTGTACCACCTCCTCCGCCAACCCGGTCTGTGCGGCGTAAGGCGGTGCAGAGCGATATGGCAGGCCACAATGGTACGGTGGCGGCCCGCTCCGTCCCGGCCCCTGGACCGCGCCGCCCCCCAAGCCCCCCAACCCCGTGCCCTTGTCGCTCTCCACTCGCAACCCCATCTTTTGTCCCCGGCGTCTCAATTTCCTGGCTTTTAATTAAAACGTGCACCGCAAAACAATAACGACGAGGCGCCCCCCGCCCTTTTTGCCGCTGTTGTTGTTGTTATTTGGATGTAAAGGAGGCCGTCCTCATTGTCGCCTCCGTGTCGCTGTGTGAGTGTGTGTGTGTGTGTGTGTGTGCGCGTGTGTGTGCGTGTGTGTGTGTGTGTGTGTGTGTGTGTGTGTGTGTGCGGTCACCAACTTCCTCTCCCAGGCCAAGGTTATTGTTTTCTTTTCTGTGATGTTATTTTCATTTCTCGTTTTATTTTGGGAGATGTTTTTATTTTTTCTTCTTCTGCTGTGCCCTCAGAAAAAAATGAAAATGGTTGCCGCGGCGGTGCTGAGTGATAACACGCCGCCCTGATGGTCGATAGGGGCAGCGTGCCTGTGAATAAACAACTGGCAGAGCAGCCGCCCTCGAGCCGCCCCCCGAGCCTCCCCTGGTCCAGACCGGCGCCCCAGAGGAACACCTGCCGGACCACTCCAAGGCCTTTGTTTCCTTGGCGTGCAGCCCCCACCTCTGTCTCTCCGCTGCTTACTGCTGCCTGTCAGGGTAAGGACCTAGCTGAGAGAGGGGGAAGGGGGGAGGGGGTTGACCCTTAAGGTGGTAGCCAAGCGGGTGCTTTCGATGAGTGTCGTTTCCGTCCAGCCTCCGAGTGGATTCACCTGATTGTCCGGGACGGGGACAAAAACCCACCTTAACTGCTCGCTAGAGTGTTTGCCGAAAGCAGGAGAATGATAGAGAGAGAGGGGGAGAGAGAGAGAGAGAGAGAGAGAGAGAGAGAGAGAGAGAGAGAGAGAGAGAGAGACCGGCGTCCAGTCGCAGCCACTTCGGCCTCTCTTACTCACTTGCTGCGGCTTGCGCGTGAGGGGTGGTGTCACGAGCGAGGGCGAATGAAAAAAGACTGCGAGAAGAAAAAGGGAAAGCGCTCGTCATCGATCTTATATAGGAGCAGCGCTCGTCATCGACCTCATAAAGGAGCAGCGCTTTACCGCATCAATCTCACGGGACGGTACTGGTCAAACAGATCCGCCCCGCCGCCAGCTTTTGTGGCACTGCTCCTCCTGCAGGCTCACTCGGGTTCGAGGGAAAAAAAGGAGGGGGCTGCCTATCATAAGCAGGGCCAAAGAAAGGACAAACTGTCATCATGGGGACGCGTCATAGCGACGCAGGATGAGATGAGGCAATCAGAGCCATCTAAAGAGGCATCATGGCATCATGACCTCAACGCCAGTCATTCGTGCAGCAGCGCCAGCCCCATCGCGCTCAAAACCTGCACTGTGAGCAGTAGTAGTACGTATAATTGTAGGTTTATGGGCAAATTTTCCACGATGTGTGTCGTGACTCTGCAGTTCGAAATTGTAAATTTACAAGCACTTCGTTTCGACTTGGAATTCATCAACTCGCACCTAAAACTGTAGCAAATTTACAACATTAATATTTTGTCTACAAAATATACAGCAATTTTTGAAAGTTTTCAAGGATGTTTTTCAGTGCTCCTGGAGTACGGGAAAGGTGCACAAAGAAAGGTTTTATCCATTGATAAGGAGTGTTCAGGCTGATTTTGGCGGTATAGTAGGGATCTGTCTAAGAGCGGTCTTAGAGCCCGGCATAAGTTGGGAGCCTCTGGCTGGGCTGCCGGGGTGAAAGGGGGATTCCTTTTGCCCCTCTTTCGCCATTATTGCGGTCGGCCGAGTGGAAGTTGGTTGGTTTTGGCGACGCGGTGCGTTTCCGGCTGTGTAGGCTGCACGTTGCGGCAGGAGCGGGCTCCAGGGCGTTCCCTGCTCTTTCTCTGGAATGCCCTGGAATTTCCCCCCTCGCTCTCCTGGGCCCATCGCGGGGACAGGCTCGCCTTTCGCCTGAAGAGAGAGGGAGAAAGAGGAGCGGAGTAGAGGAGGGAAGGAAAAGTGGAGGGACAAAAGCTGGGTCTAAAGCCCTGCTATGGCCTTGGCTTGGGTGTGCTTGGATTTCAGTTCTCTGTTTCATGTCTACTCGGACAAGCTCGGTGCGTGAGTCGGATGGAGAGCGCAAGTAATGGGAGTGGAGAGGAAAAGAGATAGAGATATTTTTGTTTTTTGGGCTTGTGGGATGGGGGGGGGGGGAGAAGGGGTATATGGGAGGACTGGTACGGCGGATCACGGCACGCAGATAGTGCCTTGTGATATTTACGATCCGATCAACCGGCAGCAGGAGGGAGATGGGGGGAGGGAGCGAGAGGGCACCGATGTGTCTCCTTATGACTGGCACGAAGGGAGGGAGGGGGGAGAGGTCGAGGGAGAGGGGAGAGCCGTGTATGGAGAGAAGGGGTGCCGTGCGCTGTGGGGGTCGTAGCCGCGGAAGTCATTCCGGGTCCCCCCTCCGCCCCCACTCCCACAGCGGAACTCACTCCCCCCTCCTCACGCCCGGAGAGACCCTGTCCCATTATAAGACAGCAGTCGTCCTCCGCATGTGCACATCGGGCCAGGGCTGCCACCACCACCAACCACTACCACCACCCTCGCGATAAAATCACATGTAGTAGTGCACTTGGGGTGACACAAATGGGACACAGCATGCTTTGTTTTTTTCCGGCTGCTGGGTGTGATGGCTCAGTGGTGGTCAGCGGGTTGGCAGACGAGGAGCTCATCGGAGGGGGCACATATAGCCCCCACCCCACCCCCCTGTGTCAACTCGGCCGTGACTCGTGTGTGTGAGGGGAGGGGCGCGCCGAGTGAGTGACGCGGCGAGGCGCGGCGAGGCACTGCAAGTCCCCCATCCATTTTTAATTTTCACTTTCCGGGGAGAGAGAGAGATGCAGGCCATGTGTGCCCAGTCTGGGATGAGCGTCAGCGTCAAAAGGGGAGAGAGGAAAAGGGGGGGGG